AGTAGCCATTTTGACTGGTGTGATGTGGGACTTTATTGTGGTTTTAATTCACGTTGCCTTGATGATTAGTGATGTTGAGCATTGTTTCATGTGCTTATTGATCATCTGTATGTTTTCTTTGGGAAAATGTCTATCCAGGTCTTCTGCCCACTTTTTAAAATTGGGTTATTTGGGGTTTTTCTGGTGTTGAGTTATATGAGTTCTTTCTAGATTTTGGATATTAGCCCCTTATTAGGTATATCATTTGCAAATATATTCTCCCATACAGTAGTTTGTCTTTTTGTTTTGTTGATGGTTCACTTTGGCAGCACTATTTTACATTCCTACCAGCAATATGTGAGGGTTCTGATTTTTCCTCCTGTTCAATACTTGTTATTTTTTGTTCTTTTTTTTATTATAGTCATACAGGTATATGTGAAGTGGTATCTCATTGTAGTTTTGATTTGCATTCCAAACTAATGATGTTGAACATCTTTTCATGTACTTAGTGACCATTTGTTTATCTTCTTTGGAGAAATGTCCATTCAAGTTGTCTACTTTTAACTGGATTGTCTTTTTGTTGTTGAGTTGTAGGAGTTCTTTTATATTCTGTACATTGAACTCAGATCAGAAGATTTACAAATATTTTCTTCCCATTCTGTAGGCTCTTTAAACTTTCTTGGTAGTACTCTTGAATGCACCAAATCTTTACATTTTTGTGAAGTCCAATTTGTTTTTTTCTTTTTGGTTGCTCGTGCTTTTGCTTTCATATCTAAAAATCCACTGCTGAATCCAAAGTCACGAATATTTACCCTTGTTTTTTTTTAAAGAGTTGTATGGTTTTAGCACTTATATTTAGGTCATCATTTTGAGTTAATTTTTGTATTGGTATGCAATAGGGATCCAACTTCATTCTGGACATCCAGATGTCTAAGCACTATCTGTTGAAGACCCTATTCTTTCTCCACTGAGTGGACTTGGCACTTTTGTAAGAAATTAATTGGCTATAGATTTATGGCTTTATTTCTAAACTCTCAATTCTGTTCCATTTGTTACATGTCTGTCCTTATGCCAGTGCCATACTGTTTCAATACTGTTACACTGTAGTAAAGTTTTAAAATTGGAAAGTAAGTCCTCAACCTTTGTTCTTCGTTTTCAAGATTGTTTTGGCTATTTGAGGCCCCTTGCAATTCCATATGAATTTAAGGATCAGCTTTTCCATTTCTGCAACAAAGGCCATTGGAATTTTGATACAGATTGAATCTGTATATCTCTTAGGTAGTATTGAGATTACAACATTAACTCTTCCTATCCATAAGCATGGGGTGTCTTCTCATTTATTTAGATCTTTCATTTTTTTTTCAGCAAAGCTTTGTAATTTTTAGCATACTAGCCCTTTAAATCATTGGTTAAATATATTCCCAGGTATTTCATTCTTTTAGATGTTATTTTAAATGGAATTCCTTTCTTAATTTCCTTGAATTACTCATTCCTAATAATGGTAATAACTATTATTATAGCAGTAATTAGCATTTATCATTTGTCTTCATTTAATTTTATGCTGAGCACTTATATTCTTTATCTCATTTAATTTTTTTCTCCTATATTTTCAACTTTTCCTTTTCTCCTAGATTCTCTTGTCTTAGATTTTTCTCATCCTAAAATTATCCTTATTCAACTTCACACTTGCTTCTCTTCTCTTTATAATCAAACTTCTTGGAAAACTTTACTGCATTTCTGTTTTCTCTGCTTCATTTTTTTTATCCTCTCCAATTTGGCTTCTTGCTCCTGGCTTTACCATCCACTGCAGAACTCCCAGAAGCTCCTTAGCACACACTCTGTCACTAAAGCTCTCAACACATCAGCTGGGTCCAGCATAGTTTGAACTGCTCCCTCCATCCTGAAATATTTTCCCATTTGCCTTTGTGAGATTATACTCTCCTTGCTATTCCTCTGATTTCTTGCTTTCTGTCTTGGCTAGCTCACCCTGCACTATCAGTCCTTTATATATGGGAATTTCTCAATGCTCCAGCTGTGCCTTCTTATCTTTTATACTCTGTCCTGAGTGACCTTATCTTTTACATGACTACAGTTAAACTCTGGCAACTCTCAAATGTAATCTTTAATCCTAGATTTATCTATGGATCTCTGGATTATGTGTCTAAACACTGACATCTTCATTTGGTTGTTTAGATGTATTTGTGACCTTCCTTTCTTATTTCCCAACTGCAGTCATCCTCAACTCTATCCTCTTATTACCCATATCCAATGAACCTGTAAGTCCTATAGATTTTATATTCTAAATATCTTGAATCTATTCAGTTTTCATTTCTACTGTCAACAATCTAGTCACTTTGTTACAGTCCTTCCTCCAGTGTGAGGATTAGACCTGCCTATCAGTCTTGTGGTCTTTGGGTCTTTGGCCTCTCAGTTCTTCATAGGCCATGGCTTAAACCAACAAGACAGAGCATTTTCTAAATTTGCATTTAGGGAAAAGAAAAAACTCCTTTGGTCAGAGTGCATAATTTGCTGAAATATAACTCTGCCAGTAACTTAAACCTTTTACATTCTTATCTAGGGCCATTTTATTCCTTCTAGCCATATACCTTATAGGGAAATGACCCATTTAAGAGGAAGAATGAGTATTCCAGTAAAAGGATAGTCTACTCCAAAGAAACACTGAAGTTTCTACTACTTAATGTGAAAACAGAAAACCTGCTCCCAGTCCCAATGGACATCTTGCCCTCTATTTGGAGATAACATTCTAACACTCCTCTTTGCCCATTTTCCACTTGATGAAACCATTTCCAGATACCATGACTTCTGTGTAGATTCTCTTTAAAACAGCAGTTAACTGGAGACCATGAATGAGCTATAAAGAAAAAGGGGAACCCCTGAAATTGTGGGCCATAATGTTACGTTGGACTTTTTACTTCTCTAAGCACCGAATTCGTCATTTATAAAATGGAATTTATAATAGTACCTGTCTAGCACAATACCTGGTAGACAGTTATTTTAACATTATAACAGGGATTACAATATAAGATTTTAAGAAAAGATAATAATGTCTAGAACAACATGTCAGAGAAGACATTAAACCTACTACAGTATACTTTTAAAGCATTTGTGGAAAGTAGTAGTAGTAGTCAGTTCCAAGTATGAGGTACGTTTATTTCAGCATCCTGAGGTTGCTATGACTATGGGGGAATAAATTATAAGTAGTAACTAGAGCTAGAGAAGCGTGAACAATTAATGGCTAGTAATTACAACAGGGGTCCAAATTAACTAATAATACAACTCAAGTGGCATAGCAGTGTCTTTATTTAGTTACAGCAGACCTGTGTTCTTTATGAGCAACCCCCTCAGCACCCATCCTGCCCAGTCCATGTCATGATAATTGCTGGAAATATGGTGAGAACTAACCAGATGTCCTGTGTGTTCCAACCTTATTCTGATTATTTAAACATTTCCTTTAAATAATTCTCAGCTCTCTTGTATAAGACTACTCAGTCTCTTAGCCTCTTCCTCCCTGTGCTTTTCTGTCTCAGAGTTCAGTTCTGTGAAGGTGGGGTATGTAGTATTGCATTGAATGGAATATAAGGGGAAGGGACCTCCTGAGTTTCATTTAGCCCTTGGATGTGAGCAGCTGGAATCTTCTCTCCCTTGTCTACCTTTTCCTACTGGCCCTTGTTGATGAGGCCCAGAGCTGGTGTAAGTCTGATTTCGTGTTCAGTTTAGCACACAGAGGTGTGCTGGTTTCATCTCATTTCCTAATGGCATTACCCTGTTAAGGTTACTAGATCTTCCATATAACTGGCTATCCCAGTGGTCTATCCTCACCTTTGGTTGTGGGGTCAGTTCGCCACGATTACTCACTCTAATGGCTCTCAACTCAGGAACATGTCACCTGAGCCAGGGGGTCCAGCTAGTCTCTCTCTGTCCTGACCATACTTCTCTGTGATTTCAGCAAGGTTGGGTGGTTCCCTGTTGGTTGGTGTCCCAGCACTGCAGTCTTCTCTCGCTCTGCCCTCAGAGGTACCTTTACTTATCATCCCTCTCTGGGCCAAAAACTCAGCAAGAGGAAAACTGAGACACACATCTTTCTTAATCTCTTTTTCCTTTCTGCCATTTCCAGGGCTGAAATATAGTAGGCTATTACTTTGTGTCAGTACTTCTGAAGTTACCTGTAGAAAGGTACAATTTTCACTTCATTATTAACTGTCACAGCCTAACACTTTTGTAAAATGTGAACTAATAGAAAAGTAAAATAAAATGCACAGTAAAGGTCTATCTTTTAATTATTAGATTCAACAGACATAAGATTATTCTGTCAAATTGTTATAAAAGTTTCTAAATCCTTAATTTCAATTTCTATACTTAACCATATGGACCAATAAGAAATAGTAATGCATACCAGCCCACTTTGATTCATGGCCTCCTTCCTGATTCCTGCTAAGCTTTGGTGGTGGACAGTGGCATCTTTTCTAAACCCCAGGAGAGCACCTGGGGCCTCTTGGCTCTTAAGATGGGGATGGCAACTATGTGAAAAATACTCTTCACATCCTGGACCATGGTCTGTCCTGAAAGGCTATTCTTATGCTGCAAAATCTTAATTTTTGTATGTCAGAAACTGAATGTTACTTTTCTTTTCATATTTCTACTGTTATGAATTCTAATATCCTCATGGCAGATAGGTGCTTGAGTGAACCAAGTGAAGGTAATGAAAGGCAGGAGAGGAAAGCACATTTACAATTTTTAGACTCTTACTCCTGTTATGCTAATTTGTAACACTGGCAAACAATGAAATAATACCTAGTTTTGTTAGTAATACCTGATTTTTGCTGTGAAATTTTATTTATTCAGGGAGGGGCTAACATTCCCAGAGCCCCAACCTTCATCTACTCATTTTCTTTCTTTCTGCAACTAAGAAAGTAAATGTAAAGAAAACGATTATTGGCATAAATATTTAATGATGGCCAGGTAGTAAAAGCAATAATATTTTCTCAATTTATTTTCTATAGGAACTAAAGTTAAAAACAGAACAGGAAGAAGGTCTGAATTTGAAAGCTGAGGACCTTGATGCATTTAAGATGAAAAGGAGAAAAGGTTTGTCTGGAAGTATAGACCAACTCCAGGTTTGTCGATTCTATTTGGTGTTTCCTGGTTTCTCTTCCATTTGATGATTGCCTAAATAGAGGTAAAAAGTGATGGATTCTAACTAAAATCTTCAAACACTAGGCTTGCCATTCAAGTACAAAATTTCTAATATTCTGAAGCTTTTCTGTTATTAAAAAATTACTTTCTCATTCAGAAAACTACTATATTCTTTCAGTAGAAATGTGGTAGAATGTAAACATGAGATTCATGTTCCCGAGATTGTATTTATTCCAATGTCAAGATTGGTTTATTCCCATGGAAACAGATGTTTTTCTAAAAATCAGAGCTCTTCATTCAAACATAACAACCATATATGTACCATATATGATATATTAAAAAGCTTTTGTTTTAGCACCACATTTAAAAAATGAAAGCCATAAACTAATATCAAAGTTCAAAGAAACTAAATTTTAAACTTATGTTAATTCAAAACAGCAGTTCACAAAATCTTACTAAAAGAAAAATACTGTACCTAAAACTGTAATTTTTATACTCAAACATAAATACACCCTTAATTCTGAAAAATGTATTTGCTCTCTCTTCCTAAACTTTATATGTTATATTTTAATAGTAAAATTTAGGGCATTGAATGTATTCCTAGTATTTATTTTACTAGTGTAGTTTATAAATTGGTTAAAGACATTACAACATTTCTGGTGGAAAAGGTACATGGGGGAATAATAGAAGTAGGAATGCACAGAATAGTGAGACCGGTTTTTCAAAATGTTAAGGATCTAAATTTTAAATGAATTTAATAAAAAGATTCCTGAAGCTTGCACTGACCGTATTGGGTTAAAAATAATAATAAAACAAAAAAATTTCATGTGTTTTAATGTTACAAAACAAAAACCTCTGTTCCAGAATTTGATTCTAAACAAGAACAAAGTTATAAGTTAATATGAATATCCAAAGAGCTTATAATAGGAGATGGATTTGATATTATATTATATATAAATATATAGATTATATTATTTGATTGATTATAAGAAGGAAGTATTTAAAATTGGAACTGTGTGGTAGGAACTTTTGCTTTAAAACAAGAAATGACACATTAGGAAATTTTTTTAAATTTACAGTAATCTTTGTATCAACATTTATATGTTTTTTATATCAATTTTTTATCTTTATAAAAATGCAGGAAAAATTTATTCATTTATTATTGGGTCCCTAAGACACCTACATTCTGTTACCAGACTCCTATTCTTCAAAGCACAACCAAAATATTATGTACTCTGTGGGGCCAGCACTGACATTCCTTGCATTTCTTAGAACCAATCTTTCCATTTTGCTTACACAATACCTAAGAGTTAGCCATGTATACAGTATTTATTACCAAGAATCAATTTTTTGGATTTCTGTTCCATTGGAATGGAGCTTACAGAAGATCTGTTACTCATCTTACAAACCCCACTCATAGTTAAGGAATGTTTCTAGAATATATTGTAGGTAATTGCTAGATTTCATATCAAGTTTCTAAGGGATAGCTGAATATAACAAAACTATTTTTACAGTTTCTCTGGGATAACCTTCCTGTTCCTAGTAATTGTAGAGGTACTCTCTTAGGCCTTGATATTACCTGGATGTAATCGTGTTTATAGGACAATACCATCTAGTTCAGGGTGGAAGCCTGCATAGCTCTGGGTCTACTTTGCCTTGGCCACTTTGCTGTCTTTTCTTCATGCATATTCAGTATCTCATTGTCCTAGAATAAATTTCTAGGAACTGTTTTTATCAAATTTGAGAAGAACTGAAAAATATTACTATATTGATTTGGTTTCCTATTATTTGTTGTTTAGGTAGCATTCTTCATTACTGTGTACACACTACAGATGGGTGCTTGGTAGAGTTCATCTTGGACAGTCATATTTCATTCATATTTTTGTTTTTACTTGTTTCTGGGTATCCTAATACAAGATAGTACAAAGATGCTTGCTTTGGAACTCCTTCCAGCTTTATTTTATTTTACTATTATTTGATGTTGACAGGCTACAATGCAGAGATTTCCAAAGCTCCATCATCTATCTTAAACTGTGTGTACTCAGTTAGTCACGTCATTGATTAATTGATTGAATCAGGCATTTATTTAGTCCATCTTTTAACATTTTACTGAAGACCAGTCATGGGCCAGACAGTATACCAGTCATTAGGGATAGAGAGGTGGAAAGCACAGTCTCTGCAGCCAATCAAGTTGTTGCAGAGGGGGAGACAGTCTTAGAGCAGCCAGCCAGAAGTGCTGTGATGGAGAGGTGCACCTCTACAGCAGAGAAATGCTCCCCACTGTGTTCTCAGAACTAACTCAATATATGTAAAGATAGTTACGAGCCCTTTTTTTTGTCAGCCCAAAAAATCCCAGACTTGAGCATCTTTGGGGAGTGAATTTTAACTCCTTATAAATCAACAAAGCAAGATGTTAACTAGAACCACTTACTCTTGATGGTTTCAGATAGAAAACTATTTTGTTATTCTCATTGATAGTTTTGTTTTTCTCTCTGATAGTTTTTAAATGTACATTTAAGGTGTTTCAAATAGTACTTAAAGTTTTTTTTTATTTTGGTATCATTAATCTACAGTTACAGAAAGAACATTATGTTTACTAGGGTCCCCCCTTCACCAAGTCCCCCCCACATACCCTTTCACAGTCACTGTTATCTGCATAGTAAGATGCTGTAAAATCACTGCTTATCTTCACTGTGTTGCACAGCCCTCTCCATGCCGCCCATGCACTATACATGCTAATCGTAATGCCCTCTTTATTTTTCCCCGCCCTTATCCCTCCCTTCCCACCCATCCTCCCCAGTCCCTTTCCCTTTGGTAACTATTAGTCCATTCTTGGGTTCTTTGATTCTGCTGCTGTTTTGTTTCTTCAGTTTTCCTTTGTTCTTATACTCCACATATGAGGGAAATCATTTGGTACTTGTCTTTCTCCGCCTGGCTTATTTCACTGAGCATAATACCCTCTAGCTCCATCCATGATGTTGCGAATGGTAGGATCTGTTTTTTTTCTTCTGGCTGAGTAATATTCCATTGTGTATATGTACCACATCTTCTTTATCCATTCATCTACTGATGGACATTTAGGTTGCTTCCATATCTTGAGTATTGTAAATAGTGCAGCGATAAACATAGGGGTGCATCTGTCTTTTTCAAACTGGAGTGCTGCATTCTTAGGGTAAATTCCTAGAAGTGGAATTCCTGGGTCAAATGGTATTTCTATTTTGAGCATTCTGAGGAACCTCCATACTGCTTTCCACAATGGTTGAACTAATTTACATTCCCACCAGCAGTGTAGGAGGGTTCCCCTTTCTCCACAGCCTCGCCAACATTTGTTGTTGTTTGTCTTTTGGATGGCAGCTATCCTTACTGGTGTGAGGTGATACCTCATTGTAGTTTTAATTTGCATTTCTCTGATAATTAGCGATGTGGAGCATCTTTTCATGTGTCTCTTGGCCATCTGTATTTCTTTTTTGGAGAACTGTCTGTTCAGTTCCTCTGCCCATTTTTTAATTGGGTTATTTGTTTTTTGTTTGTTGAGGCGTGTGAGCTCTTTATATATTCTGGACGTCAAGCCTTTATCAGATCTGTCATTTTCAAATATATTCTCCCATACTGTAGGGTTCCTTTTTGTTCTATTGATGGTGTCTTTCGCTGTACAGAAGCTTTTCAGCTTAATGTAGTCCCACTTGCTCATTTTTGCTGTTGTTTTCCTTGCCCGGGGAGATATGTTCAAGAAGAGATCACTCATGTTTATGTCTAAGAGGTTTTTGCCTATGTTTTTTTCCAAGAGTTTAATGGTTTCATGACTTACATTCAGGTCTTTGATCCATTTTGAGTTTACCTTTGTATATGGGGTTAGACAATGGTCCAGTTTCATTCTCCTACATGTAGCTGTCCAGTTTTGCCAGCACCATCTGTTGAAGAGACTGTCATTTTGCCATTGTATGTCCATGGCTCCTTTATCAAATATTAATTGACCATATATGTTTGGGTTAATTTCTGGGGTCTCTAATCTGTTCCACTGGTCTGTGGCTCTGTTCTTGTGCCAGTACCAAATTGTCTTGATTACTATGGCTTTGTAGTAGAGCTTGAAGTTGGGGAGTGAGATCCCCCCTACTTTATTCTTCTTTTTCAGGATTGCTTTGGCTATTCGGGGTCTTTGGTGTTTCCATATGAATTTTTGAATTATTTGTTCCAATTCATTGAAGAATGTTGCTGGTAATTTGAGAGGGATTGCATCAAATTTGTATATTGCTTTCGGCAGGATGGCCATTTTGACGATATTAATTCTTCCTAGCCATGAGCATGGGATGAGTTTCCATTTATTAGTGTCCCCTTTAATTTCTCTTAAGAGTGACTTGTAGTTTTCAGAGTATAAGTCTTTCACTTCCTTGGTTAGGTTTATTCCTAGGTATTTTATTCTTTTTGATGCAATGGTGAATGGAATTGTTTTCCTGATTTCTCTTTCTATTGATTCGTTGTTAGTGTATAGGAAAGCTACAGATTTCTGTGTGTTAATTTTGTATCCTGCAACTTTGCTGTATTCCGATATCAGTTCTAGTAGTTTTGGAGTGGAGTCTTTAGGGTTTTTTATGTACAGTATCATATCATCTGCAAATAGTGACAGTTTAACTTCTTCTTTACCAATCTGGATTCCTTGTATTTCTTTGTTTTGTCTGATTGCCGTGGCTAGGACCTCCAGTACTATGTTAAATAACAGTGGGGAGAGTGGGCATCCCTGTCTGGTTCCCGATCTCAGTGGAAATGCTTTCAGCTTCTCGCTGTTCAGTATAATGCTGGCTGTGGGTTTATCATATATGGCCTTTATTATGTTGAGGTACTTGCCCTCTATTCCCATTTTGCTGAGAGTTTTTATCATGAATGGATGTTGAATTTTGTCAAATGCTTTTTCAGCATCTATGGAGATGATCATGTGGTTTTTGTCTTTCTTTTTGTTGATGTGGTGGATGATGTTGATGGATTTTCGAATGTTGTACCATCCTTGCATCCCTGGGATGAACCCCACTTGGTCATGGTGTATGATCCTTTTGATATACTGTTGAATTCTGTTTGCTAATATTTTATTGAGTATTTTTGCATCTACATTCATCAGGGATATTGGTCTGTAATTTTCTTTTTTGGTGGGGTCTTTTCCTGGTTTTGGTATTAGGGTGATGTTGGCTTCATAGAATGAGTTTGGGAGTATTCCCTCTTCTTCTATTTTGTGGAACACTTTAAGGAGAATGGGTATTATGTCTTCTCTGTGTGTCTGATAAAATTCCGAGGTAAATCCGTCCGGCCCCGGGGTTTTGTTCTTGGGTAGTTTTTTGATTACTGTTTCAATTTCTTTGCTTGTAATTGGTTTGTTTAACTTTTGTGTTTCTTCCTTGGTCAGTCTTGGGAGGTTGTATTTTTCTAGGAAGTTGTCCATTTCTTCTAGGTTTTCCAGCTTGTTGGCATATAGGTTTTCATAGTAGTCTTTAATAATTCTTTGTATTTCTGTGGAGTCTGTCGTGATTTTTCCATTCTCATTTCTGATTATGTTGATTTGTGTTGACTCTCTTTTTCTCTTAATAAGTTGGGCTAGAGGCTTATCTATTTTGTTTATTTTCTCAAAGAACCAGCTCTTGGTTTCGTTGATTTTTGCTATTGTTTTATTCTTCTCAATTTTGTTTATTTCTTCTCTGATCTTTATTATGTCCCTCCTTCTGCTGACTTTAGGCCTCATTTGTTCTTCTTTTTCCAGTTTTAATAATTGTGATGTTAGACTATTCATTTGGGATTGTTCTTCCTTCTTCAAGTGTGCCTGGATTGCTATATACTTTCCTCTTAAGACTGCTTTCGCTGCATCCCACAGAAGTTGGGGCTTAGTGTTGTTGTTGTCATTTGTTTCTATATATTCCTTGATCTCTATTTTGATTTGTTCATTGATCCATTGATTATTTAGTAGCATGTTGTTAAGCCTCCATGTGTTTGTGAGCCTTTTTGTTTTCTTTGTAGAATTTATTTCTACTTTTATACCTTTGTGGTCTGAAAAATTGGTTGGTAGAATTTCAATATTTTGGAATTTACTGAGGCTCTTTTTGTGAGCTAGTATGTGGTCTATTCTGGAGAATGTTCCATGTGCACTTGAGAAGAATGTATATCCTGTTGCTTTTGGATGTAGAGTTCTATAGATGTCTATTAGGTCCATCTGTTCTAGTGTGTTGTTCAGTGCCTGTGTGTCTTTACTTATTTTCTGCCCGGTGGATCTATCCTTTGGGGTGAGTGGTGTGTTGAAGTCTCCTACAATGAATGCATTGCAGTCTATTTCCCTCTTTAGTTCTGTTAGTATTTGCTTCACATATGCTGGTGCTCCTGTATTGGGTGCATATATATTTAGAATGGTTATATCCTCTTGTTGGACTGAGCCCTTTATCATTATGTAGTGTCCTTCTTTATCTCTTGTTACTTTCTTTGTTTTGAAGTCTATTTTGTCTGATACTAGTATTGCAACACCTGCTTTTTTCTCTCTGTTGTTTGCATGAAATATCTTTCTCCATCCCTTGACTTTTAATCTGTGCATGTCTTTGGGTTTGAGGTGAGTCTCTTGTAAGCAGCATATAGATGGGTCTTGCCTTTTTATCCATTCTATTACTCTGTGTCTCTTGATTGGTACATTCAGTTCATTTACATTTAGGGTGATTATTGAAAGATATGTACTTATTGCCATTGCAGGCTTTAGATTTGTGGGTACCAAAGGTTCAAGGTTAGCTTCTTTACTATCTTACTGTCTGACTTACTTCACTTATTGAGCTATTATAAACACAGTCTGATGATTATTTCTTTCCCTTCTTTTTCCTCCTCCTCCATTCTTTATATGTTGGGTGTTTTGTTCTGTGCTCTTTTTAGGAGTGCTCCCATCTAGAGTAATCCCTCTAAGATACCCTGTAGAGGTGGTTTGTGGGAGGCAAATTCCCTCAACTTTTGCTTGTCTGGGAATTGTTTAATCCCTCCTTCATATTTAAATGATCATCGTGCTGGATACAGTATCCTTGGTTCAAGGCCCTTCTGTTTAATTGCGTTAAACATATCATGCCATTCTCTTCTGGCCTGTAAGGTTTCTGTTGAGAAGTCTGATGATAGCCTGATGGGTTTTCCTTTTTAGGTGACTTTTTTTCTCTCTCTGGCTGCCTTTAATACTCTGTCCTTGTCCTTGATCTTTGCCATTTTAATTATTATGTGTCTTGGTGTTGTCTTCTTTGGGTCCCATCTCTCGGGAGTTCTGTGTGCCTCTGTAGTCTGAGCAACGATTTCCTCCCCAAGTTTGTGGAGGTTCTCAGCAATTATTTCTTCAAAGACACTTTCTATCCCTTTTTCTCTCTCTTCTTCCTCTGGTACCCCTATAATACGGATGTTGTTCTTTTTGGATTGGTCACACAGTTCTCTTAATATTGTTTCATTCCTGGAGATCCTTTTATCTCTCTCTGCATCAGCTTCTATGCATTCCTGTTCTCTGGTTTCTATTCCATCAATGGCCTCTTGCATCTTATCCATTCTGCTTATAAATCCTTCCAGAGTTTGTTTTACTTCTGTAATCTCCCTCCAGATGTCTGTAATCTCCCTCCGGGCTTCATTCCCTTAGCTCTTGCATATTTCTCTGCAGCTCTGTCAGCATGTTTATGGTTTTTATTTTGAATTCTTTTTCAGGGAGACTGGTTAGGTCTGCCTCTGCAGATCCTTTCTCAGGTGTTTTTTGAACTATCTTGGACTGGACTAAATTTTTTTGCCTTTTTATGATGATAGTCGTGGCTGTAGGCAGGTTGCAGGTGTGTCAGCCTAGAGAAGAAAGTCCTTTCCTGTTTGCTGGATGCCTTGCCCTCCTCTGCTGCCTGTGATAGTTACCCGCACTCCTGGAGCAGCCACCATGTTATTCCCCTAAGCTGCTGTGGGCGGGGTCTCCGTCAGTGCAGCATGGAGCCCTGCAGGAAGTGGCAGGCATGCCAGGTGTGCTCCTCCATGCTACAGTAGTGGCCTTTGGGTGTGTTCTGGGCAGCTGTGTGTTGGGCTGGGATTCTGGTCAGCTGCTGGGAGTGCGCCTATTCCCTCTGGCTCCGCTGCCGGTGTGCACGAGGCTTTTCCGTGCAGGCTTCTACTGGGCTCTGGCTTCACTGCCGCCAGTGCACGCGAGCCGCACCCGGGCTGTTCGTTCACTCCACTGTGGGCTAGCACAAGCCTCTCCTGCAGCACACGGATCTGCTCCCAGTCCCTTCCGGCGCCTCCACCCCCAGCGCTCGCTGCCACTCTCCCGCTACTGTGCCGGTGTGTTGGGGTCCATGCCAGTTGGAGGAATGACTGGCAGGCTGCTTAGTGCTGTGAGCGGCTTCAGAGCTGCACTGCCTCCCCAGCGTTTATGGTGCCTAAGTTTCCCCAGTATTCCCAGCTGCCCGGACAAGTCTGTCCAGCTATGGGGTCCCTGTCTCTTTAAGACTTGCAGAAAGCACTCACTTTTCTTTTGTCTCAGTGGCACCAGTTGTGGGGACCTGCCCACAGGTTTTGCTTTTCCATTTCTCTAATATCCAGCACCCCGTGCACTTTGTGTCTGCATTCCAGGTGTGAATTTCTAGAGATGGTTGTTTAGCAGTCCTGGGCTTTCACTACTTCCCCGTTCCGACTTTCTTCCTGCCTGGTTTTGGGGTGGGGAAGCATTCGGATCCCGCCTGGCCGCGGCTTGTATCTTACCCCCTTCGTGTGATGTTGAGTTCTCACAGATGTAGATGTATCCTGGCTGTTGTACTGCATCCACTGGTGTCTCTTTTAGGAATAGTTGTATTTATTGTGTTTTTGTAAATATATATGTTTTGGGGAGGAGATTTCCTCTGAACTACTCATGCTGCCATCTTCCTGTGATCTCTCTAGTACTTAAATTTTTAAGGTGTTTCAAATAGTACTTAGATTTTTTGTTGACGATGCTTTATATAGTTTTAAATGTTCATTGAAGGTGTTTTAGCCAATCTGAAACTATATTACCATATAAATTTGATGGCAGAACAGCAACAAATGATATACCATTTCTTTGGAATTTTAATATAGAAATTGGATGAGCAAAAGAAATGGTTAGATGAAGAAGTAGAGAAAGTTCTAAACCAACGCCAAGAATTACAGGAGCTGGAAGAAGACTTAAGGAAACGGGAAGCCATAGTTTCTAAGAAGGAGGCCCTGTTAGAGGAGAAGAGCCACCTGGAAAATAAGAAGCTGAGATCTAGTCAGGTATTCCATTTAATGTGCTCTTTGATTCTGGTAGTAAGTCATACAAACTATGATTTTTTTCTCTAAGAAGTAAATCAAAGAGCTGTGAAGTTAGAAACCAGAGACAAGTCTTCTGGTTTTCAGTGTGTTTTGCTTATTAGTGTTTATATTATGACTGTCACTAAAATCGATTGTAATTTTGAAGTAAAATGTTTGGTGTTCTGCCAGGTATGATTCATTTATTATTTACTCTTTTGATGTATTAAAAATTATGGTAAAATATACATAACATAAAATTTACCATTTTGATCAACTTTAAGCATACAGTTCATTAGTTACATTCACAATGTTATACAACCATTACCACTAATCCCAAAACTTTTTATTACCCCAAATAGAAACTCTGTAAGCATTAGTCAATAATTGTCCATTTCCCCTGGTAACCTCTATTATTAACTTTAGTGGATATTTAAGAAATAAATTTGTATTGTACAGAGAATATTGGTAATTTGAAAAAACAGACTTGAAAATACTAGCTATACTACCCAAGGTTAGGGGTTTGCAGGGTTCCTATAAAAGAAAAAAGATTTTATGTAGTGAAGATTTGTTTTTCAAATCATAAATATCTGGGGACCTTTCCAAAAATTTCTGTGGGAGGACTTGGATTTTACAAACCAGTCAAAGTGATTTGATGAGGAATTTACATCAATTTCCAATTTTAAAAAAGGGATAATTATGGAGCGAGTAGAAGGGCCAGTAGATACTTTTATGGACATGGCTATATATTCTCAACACTAGCAGCACCAGAATCTAAAAATGAAGTTGGCTTGCCCCAGACTTGAAGGGGACTTTCTACCCAAAAGCTTTGCCTCCAGCCAGGCTGGAGTCCAAGGTCAGTTACTGCGTCGTGGAGCAGAGAGGATCAGTGAAATCCCTCTTAGGAGAACTGCCTTTCAGCCACCATCTAGGCCAGTAGAATCTGAGTTGCTGGTGGTGTGTTTTAACCTCTCTGCTTCAGTGTAACAGGAAGATAAGCATGGGGACCTGTACTTACCTCTGCTCTGTCCTCCATTCTCCAATTATGTTGAAACAGCTATTAGCACCAGGTCATTGGACACAGGGGTAAGGGCAGCCTCTCCAACCAGCCTAGCTGTCAGTGCTATATCCAGGTAGCTTGCTCACACTGGCTGCTAGGGTCAAGTTTTAAAACTGCCCCTCAAAACATGTAAATGACAATAAAGGAGATTAACACATTAAAATATCAAGTTAGTAAACAGAAGAAAATAACCTGGGCCTTTAAGATATGTTCTGTATAACAAAAGAAGAAAAAGGAAAAATTGAAAAGGAATGAGGAAGAAATTCTTTTTCCTTAAGTAAGTTTACTTCATGACACAGGGGGAAAAAAAAGTTTTCTAGATATAATATTTAGGAAGAAGAACATCCTGAGATAAGTACACAGTACAAATAAATGAAACCCACAGTAGATTAAGGCAGTATTGAGTTTTTGAAGATTGTTTTAATGAAACAGAAGAGAAACTTGAGACTGATATACTGCTGGGTTCTTTCCTGAACAAAAGGCATAAAAAGATTACATCATTTTTCAGTGTTTAAGAAATACTTATAGTACTTGGTCATGATCATATACATTTCAGACAAGGAACACAATATGTAAAAAACCTGTCTTCATACCACATACAATTCAAAATGGGTCAAAACCTAAATATAAACTAAAAGTATAAAAACTTTTAGAAAATGTAGGTATAAATTTTTGTAACATTGACTTAAGCAATGGTTTCTTGGATATTATACCTAAAACACAAGCAACAAAAGAAACAGAGAAATTGGACTTCATTAAAATTAAAAACATTTGTGATACAAAGGACACCATCAAGAAAATGGGAGAAAATATTTGCAAATCATATATCTGGTAAAGAACTTGTATCAAGCATATATAAAGAATTCTTAAAACTCAATAATGAAAAGACAACCTGATTAAAACATGGGCAAAGACTCCAATAGATATTTCTCCAAAGAAATATGCAAATAGCCAATAAGCATGTGAAAAGATGTTCAACATCATTAGCCATCAGGGAAATGCAGTCAAAACTTAAATGAGATAGTGGTTCATACCCACTAATATGGCTATAATCGGAAAAACAGATAAGTATTGGTGATGAAATGAAGGAATTGGAACATTAATTCACTTCTGGTGGGATTTTATAATGTTGCAGTTGCTTTGGATAACTATGTTACACTTCCTCAAAAGGTTAAACATAGAAATACCACATGTCCCAGCCATTCCAGTTGTACATATATATCCAAGAGAAGTGAAAGCATATGTCCACACTAAAACTTGCACATGAATGTTCAGAAAAGCTGAAAAATGAAAGTCCAAATATCCATTAGCTGATAAATGGATAAGTGACATGTAATACATCCATACAATGGAGTATTATTCAGCAAGAGATACATGCTGCAACATAGATGAATCCTGAAAACATTAAGTGAAAGAAGCCAATCCCCAAAAAATACATATTGTATGATTCCATTTATATCAGTGTCCAGAACAGACAATTCCATAGAGACAGAAAGTAGAATAGTGGATAGTTGGGGGCTTGAGGAAGAAACAGAATGACTGCTAGTGGGCATAGGGTTTCTTTTTTGGGGGTGATAAAAATGTCCTAAACTTGGTGATAGTTGTACAACTCTGTTTATATATAATAAATATCATTGACTATATTTTAGGTGACTCTATAATTTTTCCTAATTTATATGCAGTCTGGATTTCTAGTAACTATTTTGGGGATATCTGGTTGTGTCTTTTTAGGCCTTAAATACAGATAGTTTGAAAATATCAACTCGCCTGAATGTGGTGGACCAAGAGTTGTCTGAAAAGAATGTGCAGCTCCAGAGCAGCACAGCTGAGGAGAAAATAAAGATATTAGAACAAGTTCAAGACCTCCGGAAAGAAAAGGATCAGCTACAGAGACGAAGAAACAGTGTGGATGAGAAACTTAAAAGTGGAAGCGTGCTATCACCTGAAGTAAGTCAGTATTCTTTGGAACCGATGTGCGATATGATGGATCACTTGGATGATTTCCTCAGTCTTTGTCACTTAACCATAAAAATGATAAATCTGGCAAATTTTGTTCCTTGAGACTTTGTCAGATATAATAAGTGTACCTGGTACCTGTTTGGCGCCATAGCCATGCTTGGCCAAAGACTACAATGTCCTCAGAGAGAGGTCCATGAATGTACCCTTCTGGGCATTGCCAGGGACTGACACTCTCCTTCAGTATGGCCTTTCTCAGCCAGGGTTTCTCATCTGAAATCACAGAACATAGAAAATGACTTGAGGGACTTTTTCTCAGTTCTTCCAAAAGAGTACCTCCCTTCTCACTTCTCTTGAATGAAACTAGGTAATTCATTATGAGCAGTGGATGCCAAAAGCATCCAGGGTTTGTTCTTTTGGCCCAACGTTTGCAAAGACATAACAGCAGGGATACTAAGTCTCAGCCAAAGAGATGCATAAAATTCAAATCCCAATAAAAATACCTTTTAGTTGGAGTTTTCATTTAGGGGAACATACTGCTTCTTTCATCTTTATTTTTTTTAACTATGTAAAAGATGATTCATTTATTGACTATCAGATTGTCCCAAACTTTGTCTTTTTTCAGAATTTTACTACAATTGGCAATGGTACCTATACCTTTTTTTATCTGACTAAGATGAATTTTGTGCCTGAATTTTCTCTGCAAATATTTATTGTTGGTGTCTTGTCATTACCAAAGCAAGAGAAAACTGCTAAAAGAAAGTAGCTGGGAATCATGCATCTTGCTCAGTATTATAGATTGGAGCAAGTGTGAGAGGAAGTTCATGGGGCAGGTTAAGAATAGGAGAAAGGACTTCATAAAATTAGATTATTGCTCAGTGAGTTGATGAAAGGAATTGAAGGCTAACTTGACTGCGGCTATGTGTTATTATAAACCACTAGGCCCTGTTTTGTAACTTGGGCAGCTGTGCAGAAGATTAGCAAATCAGGCTGTCTTCCTGAGGCTTGTCCTCCTGTTAAATTGAGTTCCCCACTTGTAGACTGGAAGGTATGAGAGCCTAAGATATTGCAAAACATATGAGTATTTAAGGAATTCTTGCCTGCCTGGGACTATTATTAGGCCTCATGGAAGAAACAAAACAGTAAAAAACATGTTTCTATTGAGAAATTCATACTCTATCTGGGGAAAAGAGACAGGAATATAAGAGAACTAAGTTGTGAAGAACATAAAAAAGCATCATGGATAGTGTAAGAAAGCTATAACTACTGTATTATTTATTACAAAGCAATGCAGTGATCATTTGGGACAAGATTCATTAAGGTAGGCTTGGTGGATTGCAATCTTGAGCTTGATTTTGAAAAACGTGATATTGGTAGATAGAAGAAAGGCCATTTTAAATAGAATATTGTTAAATAAGGCATAGAGATGGGAATGAGCAAATTATGTTTGCAGAAGGGTAGTGGGTCCATTATTATCATGAAGAAACATTCAAATTTCTATCTCATGTGGAAGAGAAAATGTGTCCATTTCTATCTCATGGAACTAAAATATTATTCTGGGTTTTGTGGTGAAAATACAGCATGGTGCATGATCCCTATTTGGCAGCTGCACGACCAGCAGATGGACCACGCAGCCTGCCTGAAATCAGATCACTACAAGCCAGACAGAAAGGCACCCCACCCACTGCATGCCAACAGCTGGGACTTCTGCACTGGAAAGTGAAGTGTCTTGAGCTTCTGGGCAGTAGAGGGCACCTCCTCCACAAAGTTATTACTCCATAGGACCTCAGGGAGGACCTCAACAAAAAGATAGATGACCTGCAAGAATCATGCAGAGCTGAAGAATAGAGTATCTGAAATGAAACATACAATGGAGGAATTTAATAGCAGACTTTCAAAGGTTGAAGACTTTGTAAATGATACAGAAATTAGGGAGCAAGAAAACAACGAAGCCAAAAAACAGAAAAAGGATCTCTAGGACTGAAAGAATGTTAAGAGAGCTGTGTGACCAATCCAAACAGAACAATATTTGCATAATAGGGGTACCAGAAGGAAAAGAGGGAGACTTAGGGATAGAAAACCTCCTTAAGGAAATAATTGTTGAAAATGTCCCAAATCTGGAGAAATAGACATTCAGGTCATGGAAGCGCAGAGAGCCCCTAAGAAAAGGAAACCCAGCAAGACAACAAAAAGACATACAATAATTGAAATGGCAAAGTTCAAGGGCAAGGAGAGTGTTGAAAGCAGCCAGAGAGAGAGAAAAGATTACTTATAAAGGAAACCCCATCAAGCTGTCAGCAAACTTCTCAGCAGAAATTTTACACACCAGAAGGATAACATGATATATTTAATGTACCAAAACAGAAGGCCCTCCAACCAATAATGCTCTTCCCTGCAAGATTATTTAAATTTTAGGCAGGGATTAAACAATTTTCATATCAACAAAAGTTGAAGGAATTCACCACCACTAAGCCAGCCCTACAGCCCTACAAGATATGTTAAAGGGACTGTTGTAGATGAAATGTTCCTAAGGCTAAATAGCTGTTGCCTGTGAAAATAAATCCATGGTAAAAGTAGTAGACCAATTAATTACCAAGCAAACACGAAATTAAATCAACCACTCACAAAATCAGTCAAGGTATACACAAAAAGTGCAGAATATGACACCTAATACATAGAGTAGAGGAGGAGGAGGAAGAAGGGGTAAAAAAAAGTACTCCTATGTTGTGTTTGAAATAGAATAATCAGTAATTTAAGATAGGCTGTTAGATAGTAAGGAAGTAACCATAAATCTAAAGCCTACAAGATACACACCCACACACCAAAAAAAGAAAGAAAGAAAATCTAATTACAACATTAAAGAAATTCATCAAATAATAAGAATATAAGAGAGGAAAAAAGGAACAGAGAAGAGAGATAACAAAAAACAACTACTAAAATGGCACTGAATGCACCAATCAAAAGACACAGAGTGGCAGAATGGTTAAAAAACAAGACCCATCTGTATGTTGTCTACAAGAGAGTCATTTCAGACCCAAAAACATACACAGACTAAAAGTGAAGGTTTGGAAAAGATAGTTCATGCAAATAATAGGGAGAAAAAAGCAGGAGTAGCAATACTCATATCAGACAAGTTAGATTTCAAAACAAAAAGTAATAAGAGACAAAGAGTAATAATAATAAAGGGGTCAGTCCAACAAGAGAATATAACCATTATAAATCTCTATGCACCCAATATAGGAGCACCTAAATATGTAAAACAAATACTAACAGAATTAAAGGAGGAAACAGATTATAACACATTCATTTTAGAAGACTTTAACACGATTCACAGTAATAGATCAAATAGACAGAAAATAAGTAAGGAAACACAAGCACTGAACAATACATTTTGATCAGATGGACTTAATAGATATCTACAGAACACTCCATCCAAAAGCAACAGGATACTCATTCTTCTCAAGTGTAAATGGAATGTTTTCCAGAACAGATCACATACTAGGCCACAAGAAGAGCCTCAATAAATTAAAAAAGATAAAAAATTGTATCAAGCATCTTCTCAGACCACAATGGTATGAAACTAGAAATAAACTACACAAAGAAAATAAAAAGACCAACAAACACACAGAGGCTAAACAACTTGGTTCTAAATAATCAGTGGATCAGTGTAGATAAAGTGAAGGTTCCTATGGCCAGGATTGTCACCTGGCCCTGGTTGGCTAGCTCACTACACATGTGTGGGCAGTATGTTGTTATTGACTCTATATAAAGAACTCTGTCCAGTGCTCTGGGTGACGTGGTGGCAAAGCTGCATGGCTGCAGGAGAGCAGAGACTCAAATGCTGGCAGTGCCAAGGACAGAAACTGGTTTGCTGCATGCAGATGCATTCTGAGTGGGTGGGATTCTAGTGATTGACCTGCCACTGTGGAAATAAAGTTGGGTATAACCCTTTCACCCCAAGAACATTGCACTGTCATTTCTTTGGTCTCATTGAATCCATATTGAACTTATCCAGGGCTGAAACCCATTGGCAAGACAATCAGTGAACAATTTAAATTGAAATCAAGCAATGCATGGGGACAAATGAAAACAAAACCACAACAGTCTAAAATCTTGGGAGATGGCAAATGCAGCTCTAAGAGCAAAGTGCACAACAATACAGACTTACCTCAAGAAACAAGAACAATCCCAAATAAGCAGTCCAAATTCACAATTAAGAAAACTAGAGGAAATGAACAAAGACCAAAGGCAATAGAAGGAGGAAAATAATAAAGATCAGAGAAGAAATAAATAAAATAGAGAAGAATAAAACAACAGAAAAATAATCAGTGAAACAAGGAGCTGGTTCTTTGAGCAGATAAACCCCTAGCCATACTTATCAAGAAAAAAAGTGAGTCTACACCCATGCACAGAATGAGAAACAAAAAGGAATAATCACAATGGATACCACAGAAACATAAAGAATTATTAGAGAATATCATGAAAAATTCTATGCCAATAAGTTGGACAACCAAGAAGAAATGGACAGCTTTCTAGAAAAATACAACCTTCCAAGACTAACCCAGGAAGAAACAGAAAATCTGAACAGACCAATTACCAGCAATGAAATTGAACTGGTAATAAACCAACTACCTAAAAACAAAACGTGGTCCAGACGGCTTCATAGCTGAATTTTATCAAACAATTAAAGTATTCCAAAAAGTAGAAGAGGGAATACTTGCAAACTCATTCTATGAGGCTGACATCACTCTAATACTAAAACCAAACAAAGGCAACACAAAAAAAGAAAATTACAGGCCAGTATTCATGGTGAACATATATGCAAAAATCTTCAACAAAATAGCAAACTGAATTAAAAAATACATCAAGAAGATCATCCATTATGACCAAGTGGTATATATTCCAGGGATGCAAGGATGGTACAATATTTGTAAATCAATTATCATATACCACATCAACAGAAAGAAGGACAAAAACCACGTGATCATCTC